ATCTATCCTCTCTTTCTACATCTATATCCCTGTTCTCCCCACTTTCTCTCTTTCCATAAAAACTATAGTTTTGCCTCCCTGAGAATAATTTGGCTTCTGCTGAGAATTCAGGAAACCAAGTTCAGGAGAAGCCTACTTGTACTCTTAAGGTAGTTAAGAACAAACAAGTTAACAACCAGTTGCCCTTGCTTCCTGCCGACAGGCTCACATCAACTGTTAGAGCTCTTACGGAAAGTAACCATGGCGTAAACAATCAATTTAGACTGCCTTTGGTGTAGCCAAGTGTCAGTCATTGGTAGTCAACTGCGGGTCTGTAAACAGAGAGCCTTGAATGTAGCCCGCAAGCCAGAGTTGGGCTATGAGGTAGGAGCCTATTTCAGTGGTAGAGTCCCTGACCAGCACCCAGACTTTATTTTTACTTAGCATATATCGGGGATCTTCTGTAGTAGCTTCCTCATTCTTTAAGGTGCTTTAGTTGAGAAAGGACACGTGGTTTATCTTTGCCCATTCAATAGCAGGGTATTGACTAAATTAATCCCAGGTTTTCTGAACTTTAATATGAAATAGTTGAAAGTGTTGACATTCTTCGCTCTGCTATGACTATTTCTAGCACGAATGTTCTCCGTCAGTCCCTGGTTCCTCTGCCCCTATCTGAATACTGTTCCAGCCATCCTGTTTCATTTTTGCTGAGTCAAATGTACAACAACCAGATGATATGGCTCAGATGTCTCTTAAGCAGGAAAGACGAAAAAGAAGGGTGTATGATAAGGGCATAGAGTTTATTCGCTGTCTGAAATTGATGGGGTGTGTGTGTCTTTATTTCCCATAAACCACAACTAGAATCTTCTCCCTCTGCTTGGTATTGGCAGGCGAGGGGAGAGGTCCAACTAGCTCCTTCGGAGATGAGCACACACTTCATGGTTTACGGGGAGGTCACACCTAGAAATCTTGAAGAGCTGCTTCTGGTTTCTGCTTCATCTCTTGGGGTGAGCAAGGCAGACGGGACTGCCAGGGCTAACGGAGCCTGTAAGAGCGATCCTTGCCTGGCTGGCTTGTGCAGGCTGTGAGCTAAATGCAACTCAGAGAGGCAGCTATAAATAGCCATTCATTGTCAGTGTGTGTGAAAAGACAAGAGTGAGTGTGCCGGTCTGATTCAGGCCCAGTTAAACGGCCGTCTGGACAGGACTATAAACGAAGTCCGCAGGCAACGCCAGGGGCTGGACACTCACCGAAGGGAAGCTGTTCAACGCCGGAGTCGCCTCTGCTATGGCAAAAATCATCTTGAGGCACCTCATAGAGACCCCAGTGCGTTATCAGGAGGAGTTTGAAGCTCGGGGCTTGGAAGACTGCAGACTGGATCATGCCTTATACGCACTGCCCGGGCCAACCATCGAGGACCTGAGGAAAGCCAGAGGCACGCCACAGGCTCTTGCAGAGGACTCAGCCTCCACCGAGACGCCACCCAGAGAAGGCAAATCCCGCTTCCAGATCCTGCTGGATGTGGTCCAGTTCCTGCCCGAGGACATCATCATCCAGACCTTCGAGGGCTGGCTGCTGATCAAAGCGCAGCACGGGACCAGAATGGACGAGCACGGCTTTATATCCCGGAGTTTCACCAGACAGTACAAACTGCCAGACGGCGTGGAAACCAAGGATTTGTCCGCCATCCTCTGTCACGATGGAATCTTGGTGGTGGAGGTAAAGGATCCACTAGGGACCAAGTAAAAACCTTATTGGTCCTTGTTCTTATGACAGGAAAAAGATGGAAGCCAGCGACACCGGGGATGTTTAACTTTTGGGATGGTTTGCTGTAACTTTTATGGGGATTAAAAACATACCCACAGTTGCTGGTATGTGGAGGCTGTCTTTCTTATTGGTAGTTAGAAAGGAAGGTTTCCGAAATGTGTTTGTTCAGTCCGAAACGATGCTACTTTTACACCGAAACCACCAGAGAACTAGCAGAAATCACCAAAGCACTAGCAGGTGGGTACCAGGGAGGATCCAGCATTGCTCATTGGTGAGTCTAACATTCCAGAGTGGCAGTTTGTACGATCCATGGCAAAATAGCTGTGTTCAGTGAAGAGATTCTGTTCTTATCCATTTCAGGAAAAGTTTCTGTATTGCTGGAAAGAGTTGGGGGCCCCTTCAAAGAGGAGCTTTTATCTCTGTGTATTTTAATTAAAGAGGACCCTTGTAAATATAGAGTCAGATGGTTAGAATGTAGTACTGGGGAACTGGGTCTGAAACCTAGTTAGTAGTCACTGAAGTTGTTACCCCTCCCCCACACATCAGTGGGACTTTTCATGTATCTTGGTTTTTAAAAGTTCCAATACAGACCTCATTTAGTTTTTCAAAGCTAAACTGAACCCTACCAGGAGTTTTGCTCATAGACTGTGTATATTACTTGTGTGTTTTATTTGTTAACCCATAGTGTATATCGTCTCCTAAGTTAGGTATAGGAAACTAAAGCACTGAATTGCTGGATTCCGTCTTAATCCTCACGATTTCCAAGCAGAGATAGCAGGTGTCACGCATAAGCTGTCTGCCGGACTGAAGTTTTAAATAGCCTTGTGGCCAGCGAGGACACCTGAGCTCACGCAGCCATCTGAGTTCACACAGAGCACGCTTGTCACGACTCGACTGGTGCCTCTGTCCTCCCACATCGCCTCTCTGGCTCAAGATTGAGCTGGTAGTGGTTAAGAATTCCAGCTTTGGGAAGCTTGCCCTCGGCAGCTGCTGATGGCATGTAAAATATTTGCTATCTCATCTCGCGCCTTCTAAATCCTTCTGTGGAGGAAGTGGTTGCTTTCAGTTCACTAGGCACCGCATGTGCGCTGACAAGGAGCCCCGGGGCCAGGGCTAAGAATAGAAGAGGAACTCAGAGTGTGGATGACACCCGTGTCCATGCAGACGGCTCTGTCACTGTCCTCCATCTTTCCTCCCCTGGTGGTCACGTCAAAACAGGGAAGACAGGAAGTGGGTAAAAAAAAAAAAAATCAGAAATCAAGCAAACTCTGAGAACGACATTGGCTACTTTTTCAGGACGCTAAAGGGATTTCAAGTTGTCTGTTTATACGAAGTTCATGTCCGCGGCTGACATTCGGGGCATGAAGTCTAGGATGAGACACGATTGTTTGAGAAGTTGGATCTCACAGATCGGCATTGTGGTACCAGAACGCTGACAGGTGTGAGTGGGATACCAGATCTTCGGGAAGGATGGGAAGTGGGACACCATCCGATCCCCACCAAACAGCGCTGCCCTCAAAGTGATGACTTAGCCACTCGTGATCTCTAGAAATGGCCGGAGGCCTTTTGTCTGGTCTTGATTTTCCTCCAGATGACACTTTCCTTCTACCCACGAGAGGATTTTTTTTCCTTCAAAAATGAAAATTTAATGCATCCTCCTGTTGGCACTTTTTCCCCCCCTAAGGTAAAATTCAAAGGCATACCTGGCATTTTAGGTGTTCAAACACTATGAAAAGTAAATGATTTGTTGTCAGTTACCTTAAACATCTAGTTCATGTTCCCTTATCATTTGGGGCAAAATTAGAATTAGCCTTGCATGCAGTCTGACACATTGATTGCATAGGTCACTGTCCCCAACTGCCATCGGCTCAAACCCATTCTCAGTGCTTCTTCACCTCACTCTGGTGAAGGCTACACTGCTCTGGTTTCCCGTTGGTTTCACCCAGTGAGAGGCACCCGCTGAGGAACAGAGGGAAAGGTAGCTCACAGCAGGAGCAAGCTCAGGGCTTGCTTTTCCTGCTTCCTTCCACAGGGCAGCAGACAAACTTTGCCAGGGCCAGTGTTCCCCAGAAGACAGACTCCCCAGGGCTATTCCCAGTTTTATGGGGCTCTGGGGTTATAACACTGGTCCTGTCAGCAAAAGGTGTGGCCTTCTCACCTTCTTGTCCTGGATACTACTCCATCCCTTCTTAATTCCCAATCTCCGCCTCTCTTTCATAGACGGTGCGCTCTTTAAAGTTTCTTGAGAAATAGAATTCTTTTTCTGGTCAGAACCTGGTCTGCATGGCATTTTATATGATAAGAAGAAAGAAAAGGAGGAGAAGGAGGAGCCGGAGGAGCTGGAGGAGCTGGATAGAAAGTCGTATTTGCACTTACTTTTAGAAAAGAGTAGGAATTCACACAGAATTCCTCAGATACCTTTTGAAACACAAGGCTGCTTACCACAGTGTATTCCACTCATATTCATCATTAGACCAGAGAGAATGAAGTCTACTATTCTGCTTCTCAAGGATGTTTTCAGCAAATAGTTACAAAACACCTCTGGGCCTTGACCCTTCCTGGGAAAAATTTGGATGTGAGGAAGAAGAAAAATGGCCTCGGTCAGGACTTTGACAACACTTTCATCCTGTCTATTGGTCTTAAGCATCTGGTATAGCCACGGCCTCTTGTTCCAGAAACGGATTCCTGTAAATGCACAGCTGCTGCTGCTGCTTAAAATATTCTCTGGTGGGGACAGGGGGTGGGGATCCCCATCTGTGGAAGACCTAGGTGTCAAACTACAATCTAGACAGTAAACAACTATAGAGAAGAAATGATTTTAAAATTTCAGTGGAGTGGGATTCCTATTGTCACCCCTCCCCCCAGACAGGGTTTCTCTGTGTAGCTTTGGAGCCTGTCCTGGAACTCACTCTGTAGCCCAGGCTGGCCTCGAACTCACAGAGATCCGCCTGGCTCTGCCTCCCGAGTGCTGGGATTAAAGGTGTGCGCCATCACCGAGTGGCCCTATTGTTCTTATTAGTGATCTGAAATGTTCTTATTGATGTTCCTATTCATGATATGAAAACTACTGTTAGTAGAACTTAGCATGTCAAAACTGACTTTCAGAAACAAAGGAGATATAACCTTGAGTTTAAAAAAAATCTTCAAGCTTAACAAAAATCTACTTTTCACCAATAGCCATTGATCTCTTTAGCAGCTACTAAATAATAGGGCGGAAAGAAGATTAAAATTTTGGTTAGCAGTATTCATTTGTAATTTATACCCTTTCTTTCCTTTTCTTTTTTGGATAGGGACTTGTTATGCACTCAGAATATTCCTCTCTCAGCCTGTCAGCCTGGGCAAACAGGTATGACATAGGTATGCAGTACCAGGCTGGATTCTCACATACTACATTTGGACAGGAAGTCTCTGTTTTAGCCAACTAGTTGGCTAGATGTTCCCACAAGATGCCAGAAGCAATGTTTTAAATCTGAAAAAAAAAAATAGATGGCTCCATGTGACTGATGGTTACGTTTCCTGTGCGTTGAATGGACTGTGTGTGCACAAACGCCACCCTGCTAATGGATGCTTCCTAGCCTGAAGGGCAAAGGTAAGAGGCATCCAATGTGGTGAGGTACAAGAGTCCCCATGACACCATTCTTTGTGATCTGTCAGTCAGACACCCTGTGTTCTATATGTTTTTTATTCTTGGTGATCAGTAGAAACATAGATTGGCATATTAAAGTCTACACAAAAAGGCAATTGGGATCCAACATTTTTTCCCATATATTTCCAGGTTATGTTATTGTGTTCATAAATTTGTGTAACTTTTCATTATATATATATATATATATATACACACACACATATATATGTATATATATACATATATATATATATAAAATTGCAAGTTAAAAATTAATAGTTTCTCTGTATTGGATTGTTTCTTAAATTATTATGGAAGCCTGCTTCCTTTTGGAAGCTTTTAGCGTTAATCTGTTTTCTTTCTTTCTTTCTTTCTTTTTTTTTTGGAGCTGAGGATGGAACCCAGGGCCTTGTGCTTGCTAGGCAAGTGCTCTACCACTGAGCTAAATCCTCAACCCTGCGTTAATCTGTTTTAAGTGAAATACCACTTTCAAGTGTATTATTGCCACTGTATCTTTTTGCTGTGTGTTCAGTGTGGTCGTGTGGTTTTTAGGAGTTTCAGTTTATTTATTTATTTTGTTCACTGCTGGGGACTGAACCTAAGGTCTTCCACATGCCAAGCAGACAGTGCACTCGACCCCACAGGACCCCAGCCTGGTCGTTTTATGTTTTAAGAGTGTCTCAGAAGCAGCAGTATATGATTGACTTAAAGAATATAACCTAATAATCTGTTCCATAGTAGATGAATTTAATCCATTTACTTATAAGAATTAAATATTTAGATTTCTCCCTCTGTGTCTATGTTTATGATGCTTCACTTATTTTTCAAAGTTTCTGTTCAACCTCGTTTTGTTTGCTACTGATCTTCAAGATATTAAAATTTAAATATTTCCTGATCATTTATAGGTTAATATAAATTTTTAAGGCAAATACCAAAGGTATAAAATTTTAAATAGTTAAAATTATCTAAATTTTCTATCTTTATCCTGAGTGTGACTAGAACTTTTGTATTCTTCCTGTTTACTGCACTTATTTTATAAATATATCCATAAGTATATAATGTTTCCTAAATCCTCAGCAACCCTGGACATGGTGAAACTTGAAATTTTGCCTGTCCAGTGTTATCAGCCCATTTCTGATGCCATCACAGAATAACCAAGACTGGG